TATCTGGTCCTGGTCATTGAACCTTTTGGTCCCCACAATTGACATGTCAGAGCCAAATGATAAATGACCAGTCCCGAAAACAAGACCACTGGCATCAAATCAATGGAATGATAATACAGTATATCAAATAGAACAATGTCATTGACCTGTATGCCTGGCTAATGATTAGAAATAGCAAATTCATGAATAACCCCTACTGAACCATGGGATACATCCCATGCTACGTCACAGGGTCGTTAGATCGTATCTGATTATACAGAAAGTTTTAAGTGATAAAATAAACACTTTTTAAAATCAGTAAACTCCTGAAATCATCGAAACAAAAATATTAAACAAATAATAATTTTATGAAATGTTGTCCATTGTCATTAATTTCTGTTAATATTTGGTTGTTATCATCCGATTTACGAATTGATGATCTTGATAAAATATTGGCATCGCGCCGTTTGTTGAATAGTATTTGTGTTTCAAAATACACAGAAATATTTTTTTTTACACAACGATGACATAATTTTATTTCATTGACCAAATAATAAGTTACAGTTGAATTAAAACTAATTTATAGCAATAATTTGCAACTCCAAATTCATTTATAATATGAAATCAGCAGTGATGTATTTAAAACTACTAATAGTTGTATTATGTTCTTAATATTATTTCATGTGGGGTTAATCAGAGAGAGCAACTTACCCAGGTCTGCTAAACTTGTGGTAACCACTGTGACGTGCGCTAAACTGTGGAGATCTTTAAGTCCCCTGTTCAATTCCTATCGCTTCGCTGCTTTCGTTGTGTTTCAGCTGGAGCTAAAATAGCGCATCGTCTTTCTAATAAGACGTTTAAGCCATATTGGTCCTGTGTGTAGTTTAAAAAACCATACACTATTCGGAAAAGAGTAGGGGATTGTTTCCCGGTGTACTGCTCAATCACCACCAGAAGAACTCATTGGAAATAAAGAATTTTTTTTTGTATTAGTTTCAAATTTATCCAAAGATAAATTTCTGTACATATGGGAGAATTTTTTTTTTTTTTTTGTC